AGTTCCTTCCCTACATTTTAATCCATTTCACTTAAATGTACATCACAATACGGAAGAAAATATCTGTCGTTACTTTTGTTACATAGTCATTTTAAGACGAGTAACCTTCCATATGTACAGTATTAGGTTTTACAGTGCTGTGGTTTAACTCAAAGATGGAGTGCAAAGACAAAAACAAAATGTATCTGATTTAATGTTTCTGATGTAATCATTTATTTTCAAATATTATTTTTCACTAATTACAAACATCAATCTGAGCTAAGTAACAAACAGTTGACAGTTAATAAACAAGAAATATATATAGAAAAATAAATATATAAATTGACAGATTATCTAATGGTAAATTAGTTCTTAGTTTTTTTATTATATGTGGTTATATAATGTCATTAGTGATGAAAAATGCTCTACTTCAACAATTATAAGTCAGTGTTAAGATATATTGATTAATTCATAGGCTACTCAGACTATATATTTGACTATTTATTATTATTACTAATATTATTATTATTATAATTCAGAAATGTGTTTAATACAATAAGTACAATACTAGTGAATCCAAAAAGAATGTGAGGCCAAGAATGCAGAATTGAGTGAATTACATATTACAAGGTGGCCTTTTTTATCTTCGTGTATATTAAAGTGGGCTGAATTGGACTTGAATGCTACTCTGCGGGGGGAGTTGCTGTTTGGCTTTGTGTATGTCTGTGAATCAATTTCATAATGTAACCCAATATAAGGTACAAAGACTGCATAATGCATTTGTATACAGTCCAAGGGATGTAGTGATTGGTTTTCATTGCCAAGTTCAGAAACAGAGTCTGCCAAAGTGTGCAATACTTAGACACAATGGCACCAAAGTATATCTGTGCAGTATTCTCAGGGACGTGTGCCAGAGCATTGTGTGGTTATGAGCATTCAGCCAAGCTGTCAATACTGCTTGACCTGCTTATAGTGGCAGTGTAAAGTGTCCAGGCATGGAGTCCCGTTTGCTGTGGTCTCCACCTGTGGCAAAATGTACTGATATCTGGATTGGTATGAATTTTTGCATTTTGCGTTCATGTGTAAATGTCATAATACTTTGATCATAATTATGTCTCATAGTTTTGACGTTATCTTGTAATTATGACTTAATATATTATAAATTTAAAGCTCTAGGCAGATGTAAAAAAAAAAAGAAGAAAAAGAAAACGCTCTTGGTTATGACTCACTAAAACATTTTGTCACTTAAAAATATCTTGATTACTCTGCTACACTAAAATTCATCTAGTTTAGTTTACTTTATACATTTTGAGGCCATTTATAATTATTTAATTAGACTAGGTGAATTGTAACCCTTGACATTTTTTGCTAGTATTCACCAGATAATAATAAATGCAACAAATGTATCTGTTACAATCTATTTTTGGTTGATAAATTCAACTGCTTGATGTATCAGCAGTCTCTAATCTCAGCCAACTATAGATGCAGAGGCAAAAATAAAGAATGACTGTCAAGCACCACAGATGTTATTCAGAGTTCACATGAAGAGGCGTTTTTCGTGTTCATGATGTGGTGTGATTACCATCATGACATGAGAAGAGAAACAGAGAAGACAGAGAAACTTTTAAGAGAAGGAGAATGAAACTAGATGGATTTCGCCTGAACCAGTTTTTTTTTGGTGTTTACCTGCTCCTTTAAATAATAAATGCAACAAATGTATCTGTTACAATCTATTTTTGGTTGATAAATTCAACTGCTTGATGTATCAGCAGTCTCTAATCTCAGCCAACTATAGATGCAGAGGCAAAAATAAAGAATGACTGTCAAGCACCACAGATGTTATTCAGAGTTCACATGAAGAGGCGTTTTTCGTGTTCATGATGTGGTGTGATTACCATCATGACATGAGAAGAGAAACAGAGAAGACAGAGAAACTTTTAAGAGAAGGAGAATGAAACTAGATGGATTTCGCCTGAACCAGTTTTTTTTGGTGTTTACCTGCTCCTTTAATGGGTCCCAGTCATGCTTAGCCATTTTCCCTGGTATCATCACCTCTTCCAGTTGAGCAGGTGGTGTGTTAATTAGCTCTCATCACCTTACTGAAGCCTGACGGAGGAGGAGAGGGAATAGATCATTGAGTCTATGGGAGATACAGCTGCTGCTGCTATTAGATCAGTTTATTACACAACCAAGGATTGTACAAGCATCAGAAATAATTCACATCCACAAATAGCAGCTTAATGAACAGTTCCACGAGAGAGTAACCCACAAGATGCCCGCGAAAATGTATGTAACTCTGTTTCATACAACACCATGTAGTGACCATTTTGAAAGTATGTGTCTTAAATTGTCAACATTTGTGTTGTGTTAGAAAATTAGGTGCTGTATGTATTTTGTATTCAATAAAATAAATATTTTAAATAAATAAATATTTGGATTCCAGTCAGTTCTGGAAAAATTACGAAGTGTTCAGATTGTGTTATTTATTTTGGAGAAACCAAAATAAAAACTGTTCAAAAGTTTAGGGTCATTAAGATTAGTTTTTTTATGTTTTTGAAAGACGTCTCTTATACTCACCAAAGCTAAATTTATTTGATCAAAAAAGAACATTGTGAAATATTATTACAATTTAAAATAACTGTTTTCTATTTGAATATATTGATTTATTCCTGTGATGGCAAAGCTGAATTTTCAGCAGGTATTCCTCCAGTCACACAATCTTTCAGAAATCATTCTAATATGCTGATTTGCTGCTCAAGAAACATTTCTAATTATCAATGTTGACATGTTTTTTCAGGATTCTTTGAATAATAGTTCAAAAGAACAGCATTTATTTGTAATGGAAATTTCAAGTGCCTTTACTGTAATTTTTTAACCATTTAAAGGCACAATATGTAATATTTTTTTATTCAAATATCCAAAAACCACTAGAACAGTGTTATATATTTTGCTGACTTGTGTACTTACATTATCCCAAATGTTTCGAAGAATGTTTAAATCCAGAGAAATAAGCAATTTTAACTAGTGACAGTTAACTAGTGTCTATAGTGTCATTGTGTCGCCTGCTAATGATGTCATACACCCTCGATTTCCGGTTTTGTTTTGTAGAAAACATGGAAACACCAAAGACGCTTTAATATGTTGTGCGTTTTAATAGACCGGTGATGACTGCACAGCGTAGCATTATAACAGAACTTTCAAATGTATGTAGTATGATAAAACCGCGCTGCTTTACCCCACATACTCACGACCGGAAGGAGCGGAAGCGGTCGACTGTGGCATAATAAAAG